TGGCCGACCTAGCTGACCTGGATCAGCCTGGCACACGACCCGACCTGGCCGACCTGGCAACCCATAAGACATGCCCACCGATATCACCAAGGAGCTCGCAAAGGAGCTCGGTAGCTCACCAAAGAGCTCGCCACCAAGGAGCTCACCACCAAGGAGCCAGGCAGCTCGACAGAGCTCGCCACAAGTAGCTCGGCATAGCTCTCCCGGGCAGCTCGGCATAGCTCTCCCAGGCAGCTCGCCACTTGTAGGGTAGCTCGGTACAGAAGAGCAGTTTGGCGTATCGCAGGAAGATCTCCTGCCTGACAACCGTACCTGACAAATCTGGAGACCTGCTCCCACGTCTCTCGCCAGGCGGCGCCTTGCCTGGTAGAGCCGTACTTTGCAACAGTTGCCTGCACTCGCCGCCTTAGCTCTGACAGCGACGACTGTGGCAGAGAGACAGAGGCGGTCACGATTGATTTGACAGGCCACCGCTATATAAGGACTCCAACCCCCAAAGGCAAGGGGAGAGAAGGAAAAAATGGAGGTAATCCCTGCTCTCTAGCTCTCTCATTCCTCTAATATCATCTTCAAGCTCTCGACAATCAGAGTGCTAACTTAGGCATCGGAGAGTCCCTGCTGGGTAAATACCCCCGGGCCCCCTGATTCAGTTCTTGCAGGTTCCTCAGCTCCCACCGCCTACAAAGAGGAGGAAAAGATGGAGTTCTCGCAGGTCCCTCAACTCCCGCCGCCTACAAAGGAGAGGAGATCACCTCATGCAGAAGGCAGTTGGGTTGCGCTACACCAGGGAGCTCCACCATCCTTTGAGTTACAGGCCGCCTAGGAGCAGGTCAAATGACGAGTCCACCAAGGTAGCTCACCACTAGGGAGCTTAGCATATCTCTCCCCCGGGCAATTCGCCATAGCTCTGCCTAGCTCGGCATAGCTCTCTCCAAGGCAGTTAGCCATCAGGGAGCTCGTCACCAGGCTGCTCCCCACCATGGAGCTCGTCACCAAGTAGCTCCCCACCATGGAGCTCGTCACCAGGTAGCTCACTACCAGGGAGCTCGTCACCAGGCAGCTCACCACCAGGGAGCTCGTCACCAAGTAGTTCGTCACTAGGCAGCTCACCACCAAGGAGCTCGTCACCAGGTAGCTCACCACCAGGGAGCTTGTCACCAAGTAGCTCACCACCAGGGAGTTCGTCACCAAGTAGCTCACCACCAGGCAGTCCACCACCAGGGAGCTCCACCATCCTCTCCTGTGAGCAAGTCAAATGACGAGGCACTTAGCCAAAAAAAATTGATACATCACAAAAAATTGGTACGTGACCAAAAACGATTACATCACCACATGTTCATGCGAATCAGGTGTATCGATATTATGAACAACCTCCCCTGGATTTTCTGAATAGGCATTAAACCTCCCCTCAACCAACTTTGGCCTGCCCATAAACCACACATGACATTTTGGCGATGAAAGGGACTTATAGACCCCTTCCATTACTGTACTGTTAGAAATGTAACAGAAACTACTACTGATATCATGGATTTACTTTACTGTCCTATGTAAAGTAATCAAATTCTTGATGACTGAAATACCTAAACCTTTAACAATAAAAAC